TCCTTCTGCCTGAAGACATCAGTGACGGCTCCACAGGGCTGGAGAAGGTAACATGATGGTAGAGGCAGTCCTAATAGTAGTGCCAGCAGCAGCAGTAGTACCGTTAGTTATAATTCCTTGGATTTTTATGTGGCTTTTCATCTCAAAAGGATCTAAAAGTACTTACTGTTAACAGTACTGTGTTTTGTGTTTGTCCTTGCAACAGTGACAGTCTGTTGCTGTTAAATTATTGAAGCACATTACCAAAAACAAATGTGCAATGGTATTCGACCACAAATCTAATTCTCATTAAGGACCTCCATTTTTTTTCCACATGCTCAAAAAATCTAGCCGTGGAATGATTTACCCATTTCTTGATGGTTGTTGGTAATTGATCAACATGGTATAGACACAATTCGTGCACAGTTCATTATCGCCGAACAGTGGATATAGAAAATGTGTGAGATGTGTTCCATCGTGTTTCTCGTCTCGGCTCTAGGTTGAGCAAAAGGTCATCTTATTAGTTGTCATTTAAAACAATTATATTCACTCCTGGTCCTGGAGAGCCACGGTCAACCAGGTTTTCTGTGCGACTCCTGTGACTTCTGGTCTTCTGTGAGTGAAGACCTGGAAGCTGTGGTGGTACAGACCAATTAAGAGAACAACTCTATTCAGATCACGTCTGGGTGGAATTAGAAAACCAGCAGGCATGGTGGACTTCGGGGACAGGAAGTGATTCGGTGATTAACAAGAACCGCTACAAACTCTTTCTCTCTCTCTCTCTCCCTTTTAAAGCTTGAGAAGGAATTGACGTTGGAGAAGATGCAGGAGTGGACGAAGAGGGAGAACATGGACACGGGCACTGATATATTGGTCCACCTTCCCAAGTTCAAGCTGCAGGATGACTACGAGCTGAGCTCGGCCCTGGCGGGTCTGGGCATGGTGGATGTGTTTGACAGCAGCGGAGCTGACTTGTCGGGGATGAACGGCGGCCCTGGACTGTCCCTGTCCGCAGTGGTCCACAAGTCCTTCATTGAGGTGAATGAGGAAGGCACTGAGGCGGCAGCCGCGACAGCGGGCATAGTTGCGTTCTGCATGTTGCGTGAGGAGCGCTTCACGGCTGATCACCCTTTCCTCTTCTTCATTAGGCACAACAAGTCCAACAGCATTCTCTTTTTTGGCAGGTTTTCCTCTCCGTGATTGACTTATCAGAGAAAGTCAAGCCTTAATTCTCTTACTTCCTGCAACTTAACTGTAAATGTTTGTC